CTAGGAGGGCTTTGACTAATAATTTAATTCGAAGCCTTATGATTGGGTAACTGGATTTGTAAACTATGCAAGAAATCACATCTCATGTAATAAATGCATACTTAAATCCATGTATGTGTTTAAAATTGCTCCTAAATTTAAAGCACGGAGTGAGTCTAAAACAGGGCAGACGAATCCAAGAACACTCTCGTGACCGCATGTGCTGAGGAGCAGCAGAGGTGGGTGATTACAGGAGCACTAACCTGCAAACACCTTGAGAGATCTCCTTCAGATGCGTCTTAAGTTCTTAAATGACGGAACGTGCCGGCATTTTTCAAATGCATTCACAGGTAAAAATACTAGTTTTATGTTGAGTGTCAATTCTTTATTCATCCGTCACAGAATACATACAGGTATACGGAAGTAACTAGATGCCCAATACGTTCCAGGGGCCCAGGATTTCAATCCAAAGCAAACCTGGGTAATGTGACGGTAGATCAAGGGTGCCTGAGACCGCAGCCACACACACCCAGAGGGTTAACTGGAGGAGAGGAAAGAGAGAAGCTCCTCTGTGCGGTGTGTGAGTGACAGGAAGAAGGGGGCAGAGCGAGCAGGCGAGCAGGCGCCCCCGTCCCCACACCGAACACGCTCCCTGTGGGGGTCCCAGCGGGAAAACTGCAGCGCGGCCCTGGCCTGCACCTTGCCCACCCAGCCAGCAGCTCTTCTTGCATCTGCTTATTTATTGCCCAGAAGTCATCCAGCATGCTGAAGGGGCGATTATCGACAATTTGTCAGCCTGAATTTGTTGCTGGCAATCACTTTTTTGTGAAGTTTCCCTCTCAGGCACTTGAGTTTTGGGATTAGAAAACTGGGGATGGGGGAGCATTATCCTGTGGCCTGCTTTTCATTTAGACACAACCAGGCAGACAGAAGGAAACGGAGCATTCATCTGACTGCAGTCACCCCAAAGCACAGGCCATTTGGATCCAGAAACTGGTTCCTCCTACAAACTCTCCCGCTCTCCCTGGGGCCATTCACAGGCCTTGTCTAGACTGTGGCTTCGCTCTCCCTGGTGAGTGACGATGTGTAAGAAGTAGGGGCCTCCACATTCTGCCCAACCACCCCCTCATCCTTCACAAACGTTCATGTCTTGGGCCTGCAATTTACTTGGGCAAACTGGGACTGAGACTCTGAAGTCGCAAGTTTTTTGTTTTGTTTTGTTTGCTTTTAGGTTTTTGTTTGTTTGTTTTGTTTTGTTTTGAGACAGAGTCTCGCTCTGTTGCCCAGGCTGGAGCTCAGTGCCATGATCTCGGCCCACTGCAACCTCCGCCTCCCAGGTTCAAGCAATTCTCTACCTCTGCCTCCCGAGTAGCTGGGATTACAGGTGTGTGGCACCAATGCCCCGCTGATTTTTATGTTTTTTTAGTGGAGACAGGGTTTCACCTTCTTGGCCAGGCTGATCTTGAACTCCTGACCTCATGATCCAAAGTGCTGGGATTACAGGCATGAGCCCCGGCTTCCAGCCTGCTTTTAGTTTTCTGTTTGCGGATGCAGGTCCTGAATCAGCGCCCCGCAAGGTGAAACGCTTTCCCTTTTGTCCCTCCTCTTCCCTTCCTCTCCTTGTGGGTGGGGGAAGATGGTGGTCAAAAAGCAGGCCTGTGCCTTGGATAGGGCAGCTGGGGTGGGTGCTTCAGAGCCGCTGCTATGTCTCACTCTTATCTTCTGACAATCATTACAATTCAGTTTCAAAGATTCTGTCTTTAGCCTATGAAGGAGGCCAAAAGGGTGGGCCTCCTTTCCGGTGGCAGCGGTTTGGCAGTGAGTAGGCCCTGGTCAGGTTGCCCCAGACTCTGCCCTTCTCACAGCAGTCCTGTGGGGAGGGTCTGGAATGGACACTGCAGGAACAGCTCTGGAAAAGCTTTAAGGTGGGCCAAGAAGTGGGCAGGGCCCGCAGCTCTGAATCAGCGTGGCCCCTTGCTCAC